TAGTAAAAATAGTTGGTGGTGGAATCCAAATATATAAGATAAGATTAAAAATAATAAGTTTTTGTTAACAAAATTGGTTTAATTATAAAAAATATGATAATTGGAAAAGATATAAAGAGGCACGTAAGGAATCTAAGAAAGCAATATGTGAGGCAAAGACCTAAGTTTTTAGTGATTTATATAATAGATTAGATACAAAAGATGGAAAAAGATATATGTAGCCAAACAAAAAGATAGTAGTAAGAATTTATTTCAAGTGAAGTATATTAAGAATGAAGATCAAAAAGTACTTTTCTTAAAAGATGATATTCAACAAAAGTGGATGAGATATTTTGCTAAACTTTTTAACGAAAAATGTGAAAATACGATTGACTTTAGTGACATTAACACCCTAAATGAAAAAAAGATTTTTATTTTTATCGGCATATTAGTAAAATCGAATTTATAGAGACTTTAAAGAAAATGAAGGGTGGAAAAGCTGTTGAACCTGATGACATTCCAATAGAGGTGTGGAAATGCTTAGGAGATGAAGGAATTTCTTGGCTTACTAAACTTTTTTTTTATTTTTATCGGCATATTAGTAAAATCGAATTTATAGAGACTTTAAAGAAAATGAAGGGTGGAAAAGCTGTTGGACCTGATGACATTCCAATAGAGGTGTGGAAATGCTTAGGAGATGAAGGAATTTCTTGGCTTACTAAACTTTTTAATATTATTTTGAAGACTAAAAAGATATCAAATGAGTGGAGAATAAGTGTATTAATTCCTATTTTCAAGAATAAAGGTGATGCACAAGATTGTGCGAATTATAAGAAGAATAAGTTAATGTGTCATATTTAACTATGGGACGAGTTATGAAGCATACGATTGGACGTGATACTAATGTTTCTCAAAATCAATTTGATCATGCCGGGTAGGTTGACTATGGAAAGGCATATAATTTATTAAGAGGTTTGATAAGAATAAATAAGAGAAAATAAGGAGGATCACATATGATCATTTTATTTGTTTAGAAAAAGCATATGATAAAGTTCCAAGATAGTGCTATGGAGAGTTTATTGAAAGAATAAGTTAATACAGCTTATATTCAAATCATTAAAGAATATGTATGTAGGGACTATTCTTGTGTTCAAAACAAGGAGGTGGTTTTGACCAAGTATTTCCCTAATTTCAGTTGGGTTAACCCAGGAGTCAAACTTAGAGTAATATTTTTTTTTAGTATGGATGTTCTATGGACATTTGCAAGAGATGTACCTTGGTGTATGCTTTTTGCTGACTGATTTTTTTTTGATAGACTGAAGATGAGGAGTTGATAGAATAAACTTGATTATGAGAGGTCACCTTAGTCTAAAGATTTGTCGCTTAAGTACAATACTTATAACTAGAAAATATTTATATCCGGAAATAGTAATTTTACGCCGTAGTAATAAGTACTCTACTGAGGGGATTGTGACTTGGGCGCCGATCAGTCATTAATAATTAGATATATATACAAATGACTCTATTACGCATCATCATGATCTTATTGTTCAGTGTATAGTGATGGTTGAACAAATAGATGGGGAGCAATATTAATCAGCAGAGAAACCTTCAAGATATGAGAAGGCTTCGTTGAACTTGTGATGAACGAATGCAGGATCTCGACGCTGTTGATGGTGAAAAAAAAATACCTCCATACCAACTTAGAGAGAAAGGTATCTAGGTAAAGAATGGTTGGTAGAGATCACTGGACAGAGTGCTCTATCTGGTGCGCTCCTTCATGAATGTCGGTCATTTAAACTTGAGAATAAGCATCAATACTAAAGTTTAAAGAATGTGGCAAAACTCCGTATCGAAGAATTTGATTAGAGATCTAAGCTGACTAGAGGATGCGTGCTTTTACCCCATAATATAGATAAATTTATGCTATAAAATAAATGTTAGCACTCAAATACGTTATTCGTTGTATATTAATGGAAAGGTTGGACAAGTAGTTGTATTTTCGCTTCACCCAAATTTGGCTTTATCTACCTAAGTGATGAAGGGCAATCAAGATTAGGAGAGACGAAACGCGAATGCGATTAGGATGGATTATTGAATGCCACAGAAGCAAGACTTTCTTATTGGAACATATTTAGGTAATGGGTCCAAAATGGGTTACTAAAATTAAAAGGAATGGGTACATTGGCCGACCAATGGTAAGAGATTGATACTGACCACTACACCAAAGAGAGTCATGAAGTGTCTACCTGGGTGATTTATACTCGGCTCCAAATCCACACAGACGATAATATCTCTTGGCCATTGCATGCTGGATAAGATAATATGATTAGCGGACAGCATTTCGATCCAATGTGAACTCTACCATGTCTATAGAAATAGAAGAGCACTATATTCAATGATTCTGGTAATTAAGATCTTGACTTATGATATAACAAACCAAAGGTAGGCAGGCAAGACCTATTTTAAGGAGCTGTGTAGAAGTTGTAGGGAAGCTAAAATTTTCGAAAATTAGAAATGATCTTTCCTTATGAATCTCCCACCATAAGCATGGGTGATCACTCTTTTACCCCATATATGTTGTTCCTAATATTTTGGAGTAGCCAGCGCGTTGATCTCCAAATAGACTACA